GGGGTGGGTATAGGTTTGTGGGGGCTGTGGGTTATGGGTGGGTATGGGGGGAGGGTGGCTAGGGTTTGTGTATGGCAGTGCAAGGGGAGGCATAGGTGCATGTGCATGGAGGGGTCTGTGTGTGGGATTCACCCTTTGAACACACACACACTCTGCCCCTGTGCCTGCTGATACATGTGCGCTCACACACACGCACACGTGCACACACACACACACACACACACACACACACACCCATGCACCCCCCCCTTACCGGCACAGTCCTGTGCTCTGCAGTCCGGGGATGCAGCTGGGAGTGGTGCAGGGGCAGAAAAGTAGGGAACAGGCTGGGCGTGGGCAGGACTGGGCTGCTCAAGCCTGTAGAGGGATCCCGCTGGGTCCTACTGCCCCTGACTCCAGCCAGCTTTGACAGGGAGCTGGGGCAAATAAATATTAATTTATTAAATTTTTTAGGGGCTCCGCGGGCTGGATAGAATGGCCTGGTGGTCCGGATCTGGCCCACGGGCCGTATTTTGCCCACCCGTTCTAAAAGTATCGTTGGATTAAAATTCAGAGATTTTTTTCCCCAAACTGGTGTGTGTTAATGAAGCATTGGTTAAATTTAATGACAATCCAGTTCTAAGAACTTATTTTACAAAAAGCTCAAAATGATTCCATAATTTCAAATGGGATGTGAGCTTTGTGTTTCATGCTGGGGAATAATGAAGCATATCTTCCTTCTGGAAAACACAATGCCTCATTGTTAAAATAGCACCTTCTTTGAGACAGCAACTGAAAGGTAGTACTAAAAAACGTATGGTATCTGCATTGGAAGCGTTTTAATTTAGTAATCATTTTAAAGAAAACTCTGGAGACTAGTTCTCTCTTACACTATTATAGATTTATATCTATCTGTTTAATGATCTGTGTGAAATGACTTGCGTCTCAATGCATTTTCCTTTAGACAGATGCCTATTTGGCAAATGTAAGCACATATATCAGCAATCTCAACCGAGTTTCTAGTAACTATACGGAACCTGGCAAACTTGTTTCATAGACACATAATTTGGAATTAAGCAATCTGAATTCTGAATGCCTAGACTCTGTAATGAATGGGCCCTATAGAAAACACCAAATAAAACCTTTAAGTGAAAGCTATTCACTGCCTGCTGGTGAACAAACTGTTGACTTCCCAGGCCTAGGAGCAAGATTTTTATAGTGTATGGAATAAGTAATAACATATTTTGCCTTTCTCTCTTATGCAGGTAAACTATTTCACATAGATTTTGGTTACATTTTGGGCCGTGACCCTAAGCCTCTGCCTCCGCCAATGAAGCTAAATAAGGAAATGGTTGAAGGTATGGGAGGCACACAGAGTGAGCAGTACCAAGAGTTCCGGAAGCAGTGTTACACAGCTTTCCTGCATCTTCGAAGGTAGCAAGGAGACTTGTTTGTTACAGTAATTTAATCAGCAGTGTGCACTTTCCTCCCTAACAGGAAAAACGTACATATTTATGTCAGTGCTTGAGCAACTTAAAAAGAGTTTGTGTACAAGACAGAGATCAAAACTCACGAGTCAGTTCCACTTTTGACATGGATTATGCTCTTGTGGCATTAGGCACAAGTAGAATTCCACACTTTTATTTTAGGATCTCAAATGTTTCACAATTACTAAATTAGTTTTTCAGCAACCCTTCAGGAAATTAAGTGATGTGCTCTTACATTGCTTAGCAAAATCTTGGAGAGTTCCTGTAGGCAGCTAGTTATATATCCGGTGATTGGTGGTAAAATACATGACCTTTCATTTCTTGATTCTTGTCTCTGAATTTAGATTAACAACATCCAATGCCTACTTTTTGTGTGTTGGCTACATCTTATTTCAGCTGAGTTGGATAATTTCAGTCTGGTTTCTACAGGATAAATAGTCACCTCCAAATCTGTCTTCTAATTATGGCGGTAGTGATGTTCGTCTGGCAGTATGTACAAAGGATTATAAAGGGCGTGGAGATCAAACTTTCATTCATCTCTAGAACCTTATTAGTCCAAGTTGAAATGCAACCTAGAAGAAGCTTGCAGTAAAGCTAGCTTGTGGCAGATGGGACTAACTTACACTGTTAAACACCATTATTTCTATGGCCTAGCATACTTCACTATTAAATACATTAGCCCATATTCTGTTCTGCTGTTAAGACGTCTGAATGGTACCTACACAGCTTTTAGCTGTCTGAGTCATTAAGTGTGGTCTTAAACCATCTTGCACAGCAGGCACAAAACTAAGACATGCATTACTTATGCATTTCTGTTTTGGCCTGAAAAGATCTCTAAGAAATTAAATGTGGAGCATTTATGCATGCTTAAGCTACCCATAACATCCATGTAGACATCTGCCTCTACCTAAGCTCAGTTACAATCTATTTCTGCCTGGAAGAACATAAATTCTGGGTCAACCCTGAATTCTTTAGACTGAAAAAAAAAACACCCCATGCAGAGTGATTGATGCTAAGATTATGCATGCAAAAGTGAAGAGGAGGAGGAGCAGAAGCCATTTATGTCTTTTTGCCGACCCTTAAAGGGTAGTGTGCCTGTCCAACCAGTGGGAGACCTGAGTCTTCATCTTGGATTAAATAGCCTTTGGACAAAATGCATTCATAGCATTGGGAGCAAGAACCACAACCCAAGACTCTTCCCTTCCCAGAGGAGCCACTGTCCACCACTCCCATGCTCTCTTTCAGATTCTGTGATACTTGCATTACTTTCTGCCCAGTAACCCTGCTTCAGTCGAAGGTGTGAAGCATCCCTATGGCACTGCCTAGCCCATAGTCTGGTGCTTAGGGCACTTTTGGTATGTGGGAAGTGTGGGTTCAACACCCTCCAATCACCTGCTTTCTAGGCAGGTGGCCTAACAAGTAGGGATTTGGGCGAAGAGAAGGGCTCCTCTTCCTTTTCCCCACTCTTTTTAATTTTTTTTTAGACTGAAGTCGGTGCTGCCAGGTAGATACACTGGTTTGGTAGACCCCACTTTTAGTGAGCCAGATCCCATCAGGTTGATGGGATCATAGAGAATCTCAGAATCATAGAGAAGTATGGCTGGAAGGGACCTCCAGAGCTCATCTAGTCCTGTCCGTTGCCTGAGAGGGTTGGATCACACTGGATTCCAGCATGGTGGAAACATATAAAGTTACCCCATTAAACCAGTGGGAGAGCTGTGTGCCTCCCTGGGCTGAATAGCAATGCTTTCTGGAGTCACAAATGTAGCCCGGTGCCATAACAGGAGATCAGTGTGTCCCTGTAGGGTAGAACAGGATTAGCTCATTAGCTTCATGGGTGCGCACTAGTTTGCACACTGAGAAAATGGAAGAGTTTTGCATCTCACTGGGAAGAACAGCCTGCCATCATGATGGAAGGTGTGTAGTTTTTGGCCTACCAGAAGCAAAGACAAGTCATTTTATCAGGGAAACAGCATCTGGGCTGTTGTGTTATTTGTCCTGTGGGTGGCAGAATGACTCAGCTTTGCTCTCCTATTCTGGCTGAGCAGGAAGCAGGCAAGCAAACTCTTGATTTGCCAAGTGATTCAGGAAGGCTTTCGTAGAGACAGAAGAATTCCGCTTTAATATCTGGATTGTCTAATATAAAACTCCAAAGCCTGGAGAGAAATATATCTAACAATGGTGATCTTAGGAGGGGAGGCAGACAGGATAATGTGAAATGATAGCTAAAGAAATGTAAAAGGTGCTCTGTCTTACTGAAGGTACGAAAGAAGGGAGCTGTCTTATAAACTGTCGTTGATAATGGATTAGTAGCAATTCAGCAGAATGAGAAAACAAAGGCAAGTTATTAATCAGCAGGCCACAGTAACTTCTTTTACTCCAGGGAGTGATCATGAAGGGATTGACCTGTATACTCAATACATAAGTATTGGTCAAAATTAGTTTATAGAAGTAAATTATACAGAATTATTCCATGTTTCTCCCTAGCACATTTCCGTATTTGATCTTATGGAGAAGTCTTGCTTTTTTCCTTGTTATGATAAACTTAACTATTTGAGTGGAAATAGCTGCAAAATATTTCAACTATTTGGATGGAAAGAACTGTAGAATAAAAGAACTAAGATATATTTGTAAGTTATAGTCTTGCTACAGATGTCTTACAGATATATGTAATGACTGATCCCAGGGCATTGTTCGCAAATAGTGATACAGTAATTTTTGGACAAAACTAATTTCCAAAACAAGGTGGCTTCAGTTGAAACCACAAGAGTTGTGACTTTTGAAGATAATGGACTTCTTTCCAGGGCACGCTCAGTTTAATATGAACACGTGTATTATGAAGGTACAGCACCCTACTCCTAGGAAATCTGTCTTCTTAGGGTTTCATGATTGAATGGCATGAGGACAATATAGATCTTAAAACACATCTTATTATCTTTGGCTCAAAAGTAATCTGGAGCATATGAATCTAGCCACCTAGTGAAAAACGATTAGAGAATGGTTGATTTTGCTGTACTTGAGCATGGTGGAATTAGCTGTATGAAGATAATTAAAAAAATCAGGTTCTTTACTGGGAAAACAGTAAAGTTATGATTTGTGTGAGTAGTCCATTAGAAATCTCATTTTCATCCTCTGTTTAATGCTTCACAGAATGAAAAGATCCCTATCTCATACTATATCGTAGTAAAGTAAAACTGTTAAAGGAATTCTGGGGGAAGAACAAAGTTAGAAAAGTTTTGAAGTAAGGGTGATTTTTATATTTACAAAATAAACAACAAGAAAATAAAGACAATCTTGCCTACTTCCACCCCCTTTTGAAACACTGCAACATTTCCCAACTCCTTTGACTCATATTTCTTCTCCATCAAGTGTTGGCTCATAATTGTCACCTTCATTTTTGCTCAGGAGAGATGGTTTGTTTTTCTGATCGTTTGTTGAGCAGCTATGTTTATTCACTGGTTCAGAGGCTTATTACATTATGCAGTATTATCTTATGATGAACGAGGGCTAAGAAACCATGGGATCAGCAGAGCAGGCTGTAGGCCATCATTTAATAACGTACTTCAGCACACAGTCAAACACCTTGCTGAATCACACCTGCACTGAGCAAGCACGGTAAACTCTGGCTGTGGACACACGTTACATTTGTAGCACTACAGATGCCTGTGTACCAGGACTGGGACTCCATGGTGGAACAGCAGCTCTCAAAAATGGTCTGCCTTTTTATCCACCGGAAGCAGCCCTCTGCCCCTGGGCATCATCAGAAGCTGTTCAAGCTGTCTTTGACAGCTGTTGCTTTCCAACAGCTGGCAGCTGAGCAATGGCAGCCAGCTGGTTTCCCAGGCAATGATTGCACTGACTGCCAGGGTCTCTTGGGGCCAAGGTGGAGCAGCAGAGTATCCCCTGTCATTGCCCAGCTGGAGAGCACAATCTCTGAGGCAGCATTAACATGTGTATGTCCCTGTAGTGCTTTGTTTTTATAGTGTTACAAATATATGTGCATCTATAGCCTCCATCTCCATCATGCCAAGAAGGACAAATGCAAGAATCAGTTTTGCTTCTAATATGGAAATAAATATCAGGGATGTGTTTGCTGGCAATGATAAAGGAAAAGCATAATTTAAACAGAGGTTGTCCAGCTTTCCAGGATGCACACAGGAGTATGTAAGAAAGAAAAGCAAAGGGAATCTAGAAGAAAAGCCAGATGCCTTTCAAAAACACTGGTGTCGTCTTGTTTTGTTCCTTATTCAGTTTGAATATTCTGAATGAGATGCAGCATGAATTTAGAGTCTTGAACTGCTCAGGTGTTTGCTGAAAACTAGTTCAAAAGGTCCCGTTTCTCTACTTTCTAGTTCATCAGCGGTCCTGTGCAGTTGACCATTTGAAATAAAAACCACAGCAAAGAGCTGGAACACCTCATTAGCCCTGTATAGGTGTTTATTGTAGATGTGTATCCCCCTCTCATTTTTGCAGAGGGCTGAGAGGGACCTCAGCATGAGAAGAATCTGAACTCTTACTATGTTGTTAGTCCTGGAAGTTGAAATATCAAAACTTAAAATCAGTTTTCCCTACTTCATTTTCCTGCTTCAAATCTAATGTGATTTTTAGCAACCAAATAAGTCTCATTCTCCAAGCCAGTGATTTGTGCTTGATAACATTTACAAACTATTTCTAAGATTTCAGATTGTATACAGATATTTTCTTTTGGCACTGTAGCATTACTAGAGAGACACTAATCATGAAAGCCATGACAGGGTAGGCGGAAGAGGGGAGAAAAATTGCAAAATTATAAAAGGAATGATGGTATTATTAAAGTCCAATGTGATTGCACTTGTCAGAACTGGAAATGAATAGGATGCACAAATGAAAAACCTTTATATGCGCTTTTCGGTGTGCTGGATTTCTAAACTCTTACTGATCCCTTGGTGTGGAGCAGGCCTCTACATA